ACCTGACTCCTTAACTGCTTCTAAATCCACCTGTCAGCCGTGACTCAGTCTGAGGCTTTGCAAAGCCCACTCTGCAGCATTTCTCTGATCTAAGCAAAGACTAGCTAATCAGAAGGTTCAGTTCCATCTATCAAATGGGATAATATGAGGTCCCAGAGGATCCAATGAGATCCTTCTTGCAGACCTCAAAAGCAGTAGAGAAATGCCAGTCACTTGTTTCACAAGTATCCCTTCCTTGGCATCAGGCAGGCATGTGCCAGCCCTCAGAGTGTCTTTAGACAGCCCAGGCCTCCTGTCCAGGCCCTCTTCCTTCCTCATCCCTGCTGAGCTCTTTCCTCTGGTGGCTTCTAGGTGGAGTCTAAGGACCCTGCCTGGATTCGTCAATTGCTTTTTGGTGACAAAAGTGCTGAGGCTGGGCTCCTACAGCTAGAGGAGGTACAGGATCAACTTTGAGAACTGGAGCGCAGAATTCTGACTCATGTGGCAGAAGAGCAGGACAAGTCTGCAGCAAAGCTGATGCCAGGTTGAGGCTGATCCTTCTTAAGGCCGGAGTGACCACTGGGGTGACAGAGGAGGTGAGGCCTGCCTCACTGCCTGTCCTCCTAGCTGAGGTCACAGGTTTGCCCAGAGAGGAGCCTGCCAGGAGAGAAAATCTCAAGCACTGGCCAAGCAGGCAGCATCCTTGCCTGTCCCCTACATCGGCTGGGCCGGTCCTGCAGGTGGCCTGGCCCACAAGTGTATATCTATTTTAAATTTCCTTTGGACTTCCCTTTTCTCCTCTTCAACCCACACTTTCCTATCTTTTTTCCCCAAGTTGACTCTGTTTTCCCAAAGTTGAATCTATATTTAAATGCACACTTATCACTATTAGATTCCTTATTGGAATACGGTCCTTGAGATTTTCTTTCCAGATAGGAAAGTCAAAAATGAAATGGTTTCACTTGTTTCCCAGGTGCTGTTTGTTGTGGTCACTCACCTACCTGGCCCCAAAACATTGTGTTTGAAAGGAATGTTAAACATTATTTAAATGGTGCGGGGACAGAGCCAACACAGTGCAGTAAATGCAGCAACTTTCTTTAGCTCTCCCCCAAACACCTAGAAATAACTTGGATAAATGGCTCTAAATAAATTCTAGAGCAGCAGAAACCAGAAAAGACAGAGTTATGCAAATGTCCATTCCAAGAGAACTGGATGGTCGATAAGAAAGCTCTATCTCACCTTTGATTATAAAGATCTATTGTGTAGAGTTAGGAGAGAAACACAGTTCACCTTGGGCATGTAGGAAATCAATGTGGTACAGGGCTCAGGGGACTGAATCATGGGCAGCTGTGGCAGTTTCCCCGATTCCTTGACCCAGAACTCCAAAGACAACTTAGAATGTCACTATGAAAATTCTGTGACCTCATGAGAGAGAAAGTAATTCTCAGCCCCATTCCAGGTTGTACCCCTGGTGGGGGGGCAGCTGCTTCTGGATATCTAGCCCACAGATTGAGGGGGAATTCAGTGGCTGATCAGAGGGAGATTACAGTGATTTCTATGCTGGTGTAGAGGTAGAATTCTCTTTCTTTGCCATGGTTTTATGTGGGTCACAGTCTGGGTGGCACTCCTAGGGCAAGGAAGAGTGCTGGCGTGGTGGAGCTATTAACAATGGGGCAGAGAGAACACTCCTCACAGTTCCAAGGTAAAAAGGAATGTTTGTGGTCTCTGATAGATCAGAGCACTGGCCAGGAAAGGAATAAATACATCACTCTTTATCATACCACTTTGGAAGACCTGAAAAGTTAGATGTTTCTGGAAATATCTGTGAACATAATTGCAGAAAACCCTCAAAGCTGGGGACAGTGTATTCTGCACACTGGATGTAGATCCTTTACCTTAACAAAGAGTTTAATACTCAAGTAATTGGCTGGGATCATGAGCAAACTGTGCAAAAAATGTCAGAGCATAGAATCTCTTTTTTTGGTGGCAAAGAAGATGAAAACATACAACTAGGAGACGACAACAAAGTCAAAGTTCCTACTCCACAGCCAACAAGAAAAATAGGAATCGGTCGCAGGCCATGGAAGACCTGGGAAGAGCAATAAAAGTGACGCAAGAAAATCATAAAAAAACTAGTTAGCAGTTTGCTAAAGTAGACCCAAAAAATGGTGAAGAAAATCACACTTAAAAAACTAGAGAAACCGAAATGGCAAAAGAGGTCCAAAAAGCCAATGAGGAGAAGAATGCCTTTAAAAGCAAAATTGGCCAAATGGAAACAGTCCAAAAGCTCAGTGATGAAAACACTTCCTTAAAAATTAGAATGGAGCAACTGGAAACTACTGAGTTTATGAAAAATGAAGACATTGTAAAACAAATCCAAAAGAATGAAAAGTGAAAGACAATGTGGAGAGAAATCATGATAGATTTATTAAGATTGAACTGTTTACATTCGTGCATGGAATGATGATATTTATAACTCATGAGATGTTTGTCAGTATTAGGGCAGTTGAAGAAAAAAAATATATGTATGTATGTATGTATATAGATAGATAGATAAAGAGATACAGGGCACAGGGTGAGTTGAAGATTAAAGGGTCATGTGTGGAGAATAACATTAAGGGATGAGAGAAGATGATACTCGGAGAAGAGGAAAGGGAGAGGCAGAATGGGGTAAATTATCAAAAGAAAAGATAAAAGAAAAGTCTCTTACAGTGGAGGGGAAGCAGGGGAAGGTGAGGGAATGAGTGAATCTTATTGTCATTGGATCTAGCTTAAGGAGGGAGTAACATACACATTCAATTGGGTATAGAAATCTGTGTTACCTTACAGGAAATTAGGGGGAGAAGGGGATAAGAGAGCAGGGTGATGATAGAGAGGAGGACAGATTGGGAAAGGGGGTAATCAGAAGGAAATACTTCTGAGGAGGGACAGGGTGAAAAGAAGGAATAGAAGAAATGGGAGGGCAGGATAGGATTAAGGGAAACAGAGTTAGCTTTTCACAACATGTCTACTATGGAAGTGTTTTGCATAATTGCACATGTACAACCTATATTGAGTTGCTTGCCTTTTCAATGAGGGTGGGTGGGGAGGGAGAGAGAAAATTTGAAACCTAAAGTTGTAAAAACATATGTAGAAAAAAATGTTTTCACATGGTACTGGGAAATAAGAAATACAGGAGATGGGGTATAGAAGTCTATGTTGCCCTACAGGAAACTAGAAGGGGAAGGGGATAAGAGAAGGGGGGAGAGATAGAAGAGAGGACAGAGTAGGGGAAAGGGTGAGATGGGGCAAAAAATTGGAACTCAAAAACTTGTGGAAGTGAATATTGAAAACTAAAAATAAATACATTTATATTAAAAACAATATTCTGATTCCCAAATGAAATAATCTCTAGTAGCAAGACATATCTTTACTATAGAATACCAGTTATATGGGGCTAATATTCTATTGGATCCGGAATTAACTGAAGCCTCTTTTAATTCTTTTAACAATTTAAATTTAAACTGTCTCTGAACTCTAGTGTTTGTACTTGGGTTATTTACATCTTCCTCCTCATGTACTGGAAATAGCATTATTCTGGGCACAGGTAATTTGAATTCCATGGGTACTACCTGTCCCTTTTCCTCTGCTTTTATAATTGCCTTTTCTAATAACCCTTTACAGTGTATTTTATGGCTTTTTTGATATTTATTTATCTCCTCATTATGTTTTCTGTAGGAGCTTGATCTATGTGAGGGTGAGGGATGTGGTGGTGCTGAAGGTCTAATACATTTTGCATAGATAACATCTTCTACAATTCTAAGCTTTTCCTGAAATATTCTATTCATATCTTCTTCCTTAGTTCCTGCCCCCAAATCTGCCTTATGTATTTCAGTTATTAATAACACATCCTCTTGAGGATCGAGACATATTTTTAGCACGGTTGAAATTGAGAATGTAGCTATGGAGAAAGCACCTGGACGTACTTCTCTATAGTAATCACTCATTTGTCTACCCACCATTTCCCTTATTTGTAAATCGATTTTTCTTTCCTGAAGCACCCACGGGCAGCATGTTTCTACACATTCCAAAAATTCCTGTAACTGACCATCTGTGAAGAAAAACTTATTTCTTCACTCTTTCTTTTAAAAGTTGCACATTATTTTCTCTGTCTTTGCTTCTGCTTTGTATTTGACCCATACTTTCAATGTCAGGTGCGCCTCCCAAAACCTTAAGAGTGCTTATGGCCTTCCAAAGGGATACTATTGTTATGCTGCAGCCCTTTTCTTTTCTTTTCTTTTCTTTCTCTATGCTCCTATTCCGAAGCCTTTTTACTTTTGTTTTTCCTATTTCCCCACTTTACCCGGAGCCTTTTGACCCCTAAAACTGTTAAAAAATAGGGTGTTGCGACCTTCGCTCTCTTTACCTTGATTGCACAGGTTGAGCCGCCAAGGCCCTTCTTTTCATAGCGCAGAACCGCCAGGAGCTTTTTCTCCAGAGTTTCCAAGAGAGCTCCTTGCTCCTATCTCTTTTGCTTTTGAGCCCTTTTGATTGCCAGGGTCCAGTTTAAATACTGAAAATAACAATCACCCCGGAGGCCCTCGTGGCTAATCCCAGCCCTCAAGTGATTTTTTAATAAGACACACCGGTTTGCTATCAATGTACCTGAGTAATCCCACCATAAGGTATTAGTTTAATTATACAGACCTGCTTGCTATCACAGTTCAGGATTGGTCAGAGTACCCAGGCAGTAGAAAGTGGTGCAATAACAATAATCCTATCAGAAGGATCAGGAAAAACTCCTTGTGCAAATAATATTTGATCTGCATCTTAAAGGAAGAAAGGGGAGTCCATTCCAGGCATAGAGGATGGCCAGTACAAAATGAGCTCAAGCATCAAATCAAAATGCCATAACTTTCCAATGAGCTAAATCATCAATGAAAAACATCAACGTGCAACCGAGAAGCATGTGAAGCTTTTCTTTCAAATATGGTCATTGGCATAGCTTTCCTTAAAAAGATAGGAAAATGGATTGTCTGGAACAGAGAGAGTAAAGAGTTTAATTAGATCACTGAGTATTGGAGAGAGGAGGTGATGGACAAATAAGTCTTGAGAGACAATTGGAGGCCACTTAAGTAGGGGCCCAACGGATTGAGCATCAGGCCTGGAGTCAGGAAGACTTGTCTTTTGAATCTGAGTATATCCATTTCCTTTGCTACATAGATCCAAGTGGTCATAAGCTGTCTCTGGAGACATAAATTAGAAGATAATGAAGAAAGTGTTTCACATTTAGTACTCACATATTAGCATCACAGAGTGCATATTTATTGGTTCATATTAATTTTCGGATGTATGGTGCAGATTGGTTTGAGGGTATCCAGGTATCATGCAGCTTTGCTTGTACCAGGCTATCTGTAGCAGCCATTTTTCAGACAGTGGTTCGTATATTCCACTGGAGTCTTAGAACCTCTATCTTTGGCTCTTACAATATTCATACTTATTTGGGGTGTCCCTGTTCAAGTCTTCTGACTTTGAACTAATCACTTCCACTTTCTAAGTTTGACTTTACTATTTTAAAAAATGAATGTTGAAATGCTGGAGCTACAAGAGACCTTAGAACAAATAATATAGAATGTGAGCACAGAGAAAGGACCCTAAGAATATCTTTTAGAGAATTTTAGTACAATGGTCTTATTTTATAGTTGATGAAACTGTCGCTCAGAGGGGGTAAAAGAGTTATTCAAATCACACAGCAAATCAATAGCAGATCCCCAAAGAAAAGTTAATTACCTTTTAACATCTATTTTTTTGTTCTTTCTAATGTATCAATATGGACCCCCAGAGCCCCCATACAGTATTAACTATTCAAATTCTCTGATGTGAAACAAAATATTAGACTCACCTCTGTTCCTTCTAATTGATCATCTAAGAGAGAGAAAAAGGAGATTCCAAAGAATTAGTCTATGTATCAGAAACACATTATCCTAATCTTAGTAAACCCTAACATGCATTAGGTCAACCTTTTTTTCCTTCCTAATTTCATCCTGGACGAGACTAACTAGGGTCAGGAAACGGATACAAGTTTTAGTATGGCCTTCGTCAACAGTACTAAGGGTTGATACTCACAAGGGAGAAGGGTTGAACTTGGTTGTCCCTAATACTTCCACTGAATCAGTTCATAGTCCAGAGGAAGTAGAATCATAAAGTGTGAGAGCTGGAGGGCTGCTAGAATATGGAACAGAAAATGTGAGAGGTAAAAGGGCACCAAGAATGTAGAACATTAGAACCTGACCTCAGAATATAGATTTAGACAACTAAAAATATAGGTTTAAAAAGATATACACAGGATAGGAGCAGCTCAGTGGCTCAGTGGATAGAGCTCTGGTCTTGGGGTCAGGAGGACCTGAGTTCACATTTGGCTTTGGACATTTGACACTTACTAGCTGTGTGACCCTGTGCAAGTCACTTTATCCTGATTGCCTCACCAAAAAGCAAAAAAAAAAAAAAGGATAAACACAGGATACAAGCAAGCCCAGGTGAAAAAGGATGATTATAAAATATAGGAAAGACCTGTAATAACAGCACTGGGAATGCTAAAGATTGCAATGAGCTGAAGTTAATAGGGAAAACAAAAGGCTTTTGCTTGTGTCTGTGTTCTCTAAGTTATTTTATTTAAAAAAAAGTAGGATCAAATAAGTCAATCACTGAGTCAACTAGCATGTTGTGCCAGCTGGTGTCTCAGGGAACAGAGTGTTGGGCCTGGAATCAGGAATATCTGAGTTCAAATCCAGCTTCAGACACTTCCTAGCTGTGTTACCCTGGGCAAGTCAGTTATCCTTGCTCTGTCTGACAAAAGGATCCACTGGAGGAGGAAATGACAAACCCTTTCAGTATCTCTGCCAAGAAAACTTTATGGAACAGTTATGATTTATAGGGTCATGAAGAGTTCAGACATGTCTGAATGAGTGAATAACAGCAATGTGTGCCTGGGGAGACAAAAAAAGATAAAAGACAATCCCTGGTCCAAGGCACTCACAACATAATGGAGAAGACAACACGTAAATCACTATGAACAAACAGGATAGATTCAGGATAAACTGGAAATGGTCATCAGAAGGAAGGGAATGAGATTAAGAGTAGAGTGAGTAATGGCTCAGGGCAAATGGAGAAGCTAATGTATGACAACATGAAAACAGAGAAGCTCAACTCTCAAGTTGCTTTAATTTTCTTAGACTATGAGAATGATTTATAGATTACAAAGGACATGACCAAAATGGTTAATAGGAAGTTGATAAGCAAAATACCTCAGGACATCATAATAGATGACTTGACTTTACCTTGATGATTTCAAGACAGCCTGGTAAAGTTCATCCTTAGGAACTGGAAGAATGTGCATTCAGTAAAATATAAGCTCTTTAAGGACAGGGACTATTTGTCGTTTTTGTGTTCATGTCCCTAGTCCCTAGCAGAGTGCTTTGCACCATTAGGTGCTTGATAAGTGTTTCAGTTTAAGTGACCTAAGTGTAATTGCTGCGCTATTCTCAATGATCTTTGAAAAACTGTGCAGGATGGGACATTATGAGCCCTTGTTAACCTTCCACTGACCCTGACTTTGTAATTGGGGACTACAATTTATATGTTGATGCCTTCTGAAATATCCTTTTTTCCTAGTACTCAAAGTAGTGCACTGTCATGATCTGAACCTTCCCTCTACCCCAGCCATATATAAGAATAGCCACACCCTTGGAGTCACTAGTACCCAAAGTGTTCTATCTCTATAATCTATAACTCTAAAATTCTTCTATCTAACCCTATCCTCATTGCTTTACTTATCTCTATCCTCATCCTTTCAAATGTATTTTTCATTCTCACCATAACCTCTAATCACTCCACTCTGTGCTTTATTCGGGGACCATGCTGTTATAGATGCACTTTCATTCATGGAAAATCTTGGCCTCATAGTTAAGAATTCCAACTTCAGAGTTTCATGTGCTCTTGAATCCTTGAATCCTTTGTCCTATTGCTGCATATCTCTTTCCTAACCTCACATCTGAGTCAATTTTGCCTTCTGCCTTTCCCACTCCTGTTCTCATGCTGCAGAATATTGCTAGATGAATTCATACAACTGTTCTTACTGGTTCCAATACCAAAGAGTAATGCCTGTTTCTCAGACTCAGATGGTTTTAGTGGGGGAGAAGAACTTAAGGCCTGTTCCCTTACAACAGGTATATCACTGAAGGTTGTAAACAGAAGAGTCACCAGGATTTTCCTAAAATGGGCAGAGGAAAAAGACTAGGTAGTGATATTGAAAGGGCTTTTTGAATGCCGATAAGGGTCATCAAAGAGCTTCCCTTGCACTAAATATTTGGCAGGAAGTCTATACGTGACTCATAGTTTCTCCCAAACACTTCCTTTACACATCATCAAGACCCTCTGAAATGTTGCCAGCAATCAGATAGTGCACTGAATGGGAAGGCAGAAAATAAATGTGAGACGTCGGCCAGGCGGAGCAGTAAAGACTGAGTCAGTTTATTCATCTGAGGGTAAACGATATATAGAGAAAATCTAGCCTAACTTCAAAGAGTGTTTCCCGTGAGACACTCCCCAAAACATCTGCTGAGGATGTGACAACATACATTTCCTCGTTATGAGGGTTCCTAGATTGGGTTGTAGTTTCCAAGGCTTTCCCATGTGCCTTGGTGCCACCTGCATAGAGGAGTGAATGTGTAAATCTAAGGTTCAAAGAGTGAGAAGGAATGTCTCAGTAGCCTCCCTTGCAGGGAGAGATTTGGAGAGCCCTGGTTCCTAAATGATTGAGCCTTGTGGGTTAAGCCTGGACAAGAGGCAAATTGTCCTGGATGTTAAACCCAGATCAGACTCTTAGAGCCGGCCCTCAACTCAGAAACAAGTTCCCAAGTGTCCTCCATGTAGAGAAATGGAATCATCCAAGTAAGTTTAAGGTGTCTGCTCATGTGTCTGAACCTCATAATACAATGAAAATGAAACTTCAAAATGAAACAGGATCAAGAAGAACACCAGATACAGGAGAAAGAGAATAGGAAGAGCAGGAGAAAGCAATGGCAAATCCAGGATGCAGCTTAGAGAGATGCAGAGGGTGCACAAGGAGGGGAAGAAATGGGAGGTTGTTGAGGGAAGGACTTCAGACAGTAATAGAAAGGGGGAGAAATGCTTTTTTGCAGATAATTTACTTATTTTTATATGGAATATGCAGGGATTCAGAGAAGCAGTTCAAATGAACATGTTAGTGTTGACTTCTCAGGAATATGAATTTGAAAAGCAATTCAATGAGAACAAAGCCATCCAGTCGATGCAAGAGAACTGGAAGAAAATCGTTCTTATTTTCAGCTCTGTATGCTGCCTTTATATTTGGTGGTCAGCACCTAATGAACAAATGGGCAAAGTTGGAAGTCAGGAAGCCACTTGTACTGTGGTCCCTGAGCATTGCAGTCTTCCATATAGGGTTAGGGTATAGTTTTGCTCTTCAAACTGGTGCTTATATTGTGTACATTTTGATGACCAAAGGCCTGAAGCAATCAATTTGTGATCAGAGTTTTTACAATGGACCTGTCAGCAAATTTGCGTCTTTTGCATTTGTATTAAGCAAATCACTTGAATTTGGAGAAACTATTAATTATTTTTCAAAAACAGAAACTCATCTTACTACATTGGTGTCACCACATCACTGTGCTGCTCTATTCTTGCTACTTTTAGAAGGACATGGTTGGTTCATGACCATGAACTATGAAGTGCATGCAGTAATGTATTCCTACTATACCTTGCAAGCGGTGGGGTTCCAGGTCTCACCGAAGTTCACCATGTTCATCACCTTGTTTCTGATTACACAGATGTTGATGGGTTGTGTAGTTAACTATCTCGATTTCTCCTGGATGCAGCAAAACCAGTGCCGCTCTCATATTCAGAACATCATGTGGTCCTCACTCATCTATCTCAGCTACTTTGTGCTCAGGGTCATCAAGAAAAGAAAAAAAAACTAAACAAAAGAAAATGGCACCAGGTATCATATATATGGTCCAGCTAAAATAATAATATTAATAATTAAAAAGCAAGCTTGGCAGCTTAGGGGTAACTAGGTTGATCTAACCCAATAAATGTATGATCCTTTTGTGGTGAGGACTCATTGAGTTCAACTCCATCTCAAAGAACTGCTGCTAAGAGACACCATCCCTCTCATACCTGTCAAGTGTAGGAGGAAAAATGAAAGAAAGAAAGAAAGAAAGAAGAAAGAAAGAAAGAAAGAAAGAAAGAGAAAGAAAGAAGAAAGAAGGAAGAGAAGAAAGAAAGAAAGAAAAAAAGAAAGGAAGAAGAAAGGAAGGAAAGAAGAAAGGAAGAAAGAAAGAAAAGAGAAAGGAAGAAAGAAAGAAGGAAAGAAGAAAGGAAGAAAGAAAGAAGGAAGGAAGAAGGAAGAGAAAGAATGTATTAACAAACTTTATGAAAAAAGTATTTAGTAATCATATTTCCCTAAAACAGAAGACTTTTACTCAAAACCAAACAAAAAAAGTATTTTTATATACTGTCTATTCTTTTTCAACACTAAACTTGAGCCAACAAAAAAAAGACAAAAAGGTTGGAGGTGCAGGGGGTGTGCGTATAAAACCAACACTTTGGCAGAAATGAAAACTTTCCTTGTGAAAGGTTGGCAGTTTTAGACTAAATTCAAAAGGTATTTAGAAGGTTTCTTTAAGTGAACATGAGCCACAACTTGATGAGTAAGAGAAAAGCTTGATGGTTCCCACCGCAATCTAGAATTTGTGTTCAACCCTTGATCAGGTTTTCAAAATGAGGAACAAAACATGACTGCCCATTTCTAAATGAGAGAGAATTTGTCCAAGGGCATGTCCGATGGAAGTCTGTTGATTTCTATTATTGCACAGGATAAAAGAGATTCATCTTTGTTCTTTTACCTGAGACTTTTAAAAAGAACTTTGGAGGGGAGGGGAAAAGAGACAGAAGAAGAAGAAGAAGAAGAAGAAGAAGAAGAAGAAGAAGAAGAAGAAGAAGAAGAAGAAGAAGAAGAAGAAGAAGAAGAAGAAGGCGGCGGCAGCAAAACCACAACCAAATTATATGAAAATTGGGGGGACAAGATGGTGGAGTAAAAAGGTAGTTGCTCTCACT